TCAGTGAGGAAACAAACTCACCGGAGACGGAAGATAAATCAAATACGTTCAAATATAAGCGACACAAGTCAGTGAATCCAAACCTGCTCCTGGTTTTCCTCCAGTTTTACTTTCGCTTTCTGAACATAACAATGACAGACGTCATCAGATGAAGAATACTAGCGCTTCGTATTCGCTGTGATTGTGTTAGATGTGATTTTATGTAATGATGTTTGCGGTGTGAACATACTGTACATACTGTACATCTGCGTGTGTTCTGTGAATGTAAAGGAAAATCCACACAGATTCAGTCGCTTTGACTCGTGACGCGTTTGAGGATTTCTCCATTTTGTCCCTGTTTGACTAGAAATAAAACATCATGGCATGTGCGATATTCAGATCAATAATATGACAATGTGGTCGTTCAGCTGTCTCCGGTGGAGCGTTAGATGAGAGGAGAAGAAGCTGCATCGCTCTGTTCCTGGGCTGTTGAACAGCTTTGGGAATTCTTCACATGGATTTGTTTTCTTGAACCTGTTTAAGTGAACAGTACTGTTGTTTAAGGCTTGGATCTGATCCTCTAATAGAGGGTTTATTCTGTCTTGTTTATTAATAATATAGGCTATGTCTGCAAGATGTCTTGTTAAAGATCGCTTCATCTGGAAAGCATCTGATAGACGTCTCTGGTTTTACATTCATTCTAAATCATAAACATCTTACAGACATCTTATACACGTCTATTTGACATCTGATAGGAAACGTCTTGCAGATGCAGACGTCAAATAGACGTCTCTGTGATGTGCAGCGAGTTTGAAATGAAAATACGGTTCATTTAACTAACTGAAGACCAAAATAGTAGAATCAGTATACAGTATACAACATAAATGAAAACGTGCATGCAGTTAGGGATATGCCGGTATCAATTTTTCATGTTGCGATTAATTGCTGATGCTTTTATCACGGTATACGGTATTATCACGATATTGCAATTTAGTTGCAAAAAAGTGTTGTCAAAATAAAGTATAACAGGTTTAATAACTTTTCTTTCTTATACCAAAAAGAAACTGAACATTTAAATACAATAAAGCAATACACAAAAATGTATAAAGTAAATATTTTCACACAGGTTAAAGTGCAAAAGAATTGTAAAGATCAATAGGTAACACTTTACAACAAGATCTCATTAGTTAACCTTAGTTGATGCACTAACATTAACAATGAGCAATAGCTACATTTGCTACAGAAGTTATTAATCTTTGTTACAAAAAACCGTTAGTTCATGTTAGCTCGAGTTCATTAAAAACACAGTAGCAACTTTTGATTATAAAAACGTGTTATTAAATATTGAAATGAACTAAGATTAATGAATGTTTAGAATAATTTTTCATTGGCAGCTTATGTTAACTAATGTTAACTAATAGAGCCTTAATGTAAACTGTGACTGAATAATAAAGAATAAAAAAATATATATATTTTTTATTATTATTATTATGCAAAGAGATATACAAGTTACCGATGACAAATCGTCCCACACACAGGCTGGTTGTAAGAGGGCTTCAACAACTTAGGATGCCCAAAAAAAGGGCTAAACGGCTAGCAAAGTACTGTGCTTTGTCCTCTATTATAGCAAGCCGTCATATATGGCGGAGACGCTGTTATTTATACCCATAATAACTAAATGATATGCTTAATATTGTGAAGACCTGTTGCATGCCATTGGTCCATGTATCTAACTGCATCTATAATATTTACGTCCTTGTAAGTTATTTCTTTTAAGTGGACTTAAATAAATTGTTAAAATGTGTGTGTGTGTGTGTGAGTGTGTGTGTGTGTGTGTGTGTGTGTGAC